TGAGGGACAGACCTGAAATCGAATCCCACAGTATAAGGCCACCTGTCAATGCTGTATGCCAAATATCAAGAGGCTGTGATGAGTAGTTGCTAAGAAAACTGTTACGAAAATTTCCTATCATTGGCCATTAATGTTGTAAATTTAACTAAGTTGATTTACAGGAAGTGGATGAGTGACAGATCTGAAATCGAATCCCACGGTATGGGACCATGTGTCAATTCTGTTTGGTAAATATCAAGAGGCTGTAATAAGTAGTTGCTGAGAAAACTGTTACGAAAGTTTTTCCCCGCCCGCCCGCCAACCGCCCGCCGCCCATCATTCACCATACTATAACCCGAGTTTGCACATGTGCAACCCGGCCAAATATATGAAAATTATTATTTTTGTATATAACTGATAATACCAGATAAGTTCGTTTTCTTGTGTGCTTTTCGCTATTTTCATGCACATGAGTAAACGGGAAAGTGGACGTACTTGGTGGTTTCGTTTATGTTTGACAAAATTTATAACTCGACAGCGTAAAATAATATGCAGGATGCATGGCAATATAGACCTTATAATGTGTAGGAGAAGGCATGGTTAAACAGAACTTAAGTATCTGAAATTTAACCTGATAGTAAAAGAACTTATGAAAGTAGATAGTTCGTTTCCAGACTCCTTTAGATCAATTAAAAATTACACGCGTATACCATGTTAGGAGAAATCCTTTATGTCATGTAACCAATTTGACAATGCCCAATCAAATTCCGAGATTTCAGATTGTTATTTTAAAATGACCTATGAAATTTTTACATACATTCAGTTCTTCCCTGTAAGGTTAACAGGAAGTCAAACTGAAAACAAACCGGCCTTCGTCAAGAAAAAATAATTAAAGAAATCTGAAAAAAAAAGTTTGTTGAGGATTCGAACTAGCAACTTCGCAATTGCTATGCTATCATAATTACCACTAGGCCATCGGGACGTTAGTATAAAATAAAGTATTGACAACTTTCCTTTCATTAAAAATCAATAAGCAGATCGTAATAAATTACAGAAACTAACGAAAAAGCTTCCGAAAATTAATGAGCCTCAGGTCAATATTGCCAGATTAACCGTAAATTAAACGACGTGTAATAACAAATGTCATATCAAACAAGGTTACGTTAAATCATCTTATTATCTAAGATTATAAACCTAAAATATAATCGCTAGATTTACTTTTTTTAAGGAAAATTAAAGCAGGCGTAACGTGACGGCAAACGCGCATGGCTTAACTACGACACATTATACATAAACGGCCACCAGTGCGGGGCGAATTAATTAATTAAGATTCGCGGAATCATTCTTACCGAAAAAGGGGCTAACTTAAAACGCACGCAAAGTATAAGCGTATGGATAAATGACAATAAGATAATCAGTAATGGACAGTTTGGTTGAATGTCTGGAAGATCAACTGTGGAATTGAATGTTGTTGTAAATAAAGGTTTGAATGATAAAGGTACATTATATTGTGATTTTATCGACTTAAAGAAGGTTGTCGGCAGTGTTAATAAATGTAGTTTGTGGTATAAACCATACAAGAGCCACGTAAACATGGCCATACCTCGCCGAATGTGTTTGCTCATTGCAATTGGAAGAATGTATATGTGGAGCAGAATATTTCAATTTTAAGAGGTCTTTTGGTAATGAAAACTGATGGCTGAAGTGATTACAGATTTGAAACCTATGTGAATACTGATGGCTGAAAATAACAAAGGGCAATATCTGAAAAATAATGTATGGTAGGTTATCATTCCTGTGTGCTGCACTCCTCCCCATTGAGATAAATCCACCTATGAAGTTTCAAGTTGATATCTCAAACGTTTTTATGGTTATGCTCTGGACAAAAATTAAGCATGAAAAATAACAAAGGGCAATAACTGAAAAAAATATGCAGGGTAGAGTTATCATTATTTGGTGCTGCACTCCTCCTCAATGATACCTATCCACCTATGAAGTTTCATGATGATATCTCAAAGGGTTTGTTTAGTTATGCTCTGGACAAAAATTAAGTATGAACAATAACAAAGGGCAATAACTGAAAAATTATGCAGGACAGAGTTATCATTCTTGTGTGCGGCACTCCTCCTCAATGAGATCTATCCATCTATGAAGTTTCAAGTTGATACCTCTTACACTTTTTGAGATAAGCTTCGACAAAAAGTATGAAAAATAACAAAGAGCAATAACTAAAAAATTATAATGGTAAGAGTTATCATTCTTGTGCACATCATTCCTTCTCAATAAGATCTATCCACCTATGAAGTTTCATATTGACATCTCAAAGACTTTTTGAGTTATGCTCCACTCAGGTGAAAAATCAAGTATGAAAAATAACAAAGGGCAATCACTCAAAAATTATGAAGGGTAGAGTTATCATTCGTGTGCACTGCACACCTCCTGAGTGAGATCTATCCACCTATGAATTTTTAAGTTTCATGTTTATATCTTATAAGCTTTTTGAGTTATGCTCTGGACAAACATTAAGTTTGAAAAATAACAAAGGGCAATAACTGAAAAATTATGTAGGGTAGAGTTATCATTCTAGAGCACGGCACTGCACTCCTTCTCAATATGATCTATCCACCTATGAATTTTTAAGTTGATACCTCAAATACTTTTTGAGATATGCTCTGGACAAAAATGTCGGACGGAAGGGCGGACGGATGGAAGGATGGACGGACGGAGTCTATTTCTATATCCCCCGCCGCCTTTCGGCGAGGGATAATAAACTAGGTATCAGGGGCAAATTACTTATTATAGGATAATCAAAAATATGTATGCCTCTGTCAAAACATGCATCAAGGGATGTAACTTTTTCTCTGATTATTTCGAATGCGTGGTCGGCCTAAAGCATGGCAAGGTTCTCTTCCCTGTTTTATTTTCTCTATTTTTAGAAGAGCTTGAACTTTTTATACTGACTACCCGTCGTGTGATTTAAATATTGATGAAATCCTGCTAGTCACCATATTGTTGCTGATGACATGGTGCTTTTTGGTAATTCTCTCATTGATCTTCAATGCAAGCTTGACTTGTTAAAATTATATTGTGATCGTGCTGGGGTATTATTGTCTATACTGAAACAACAAAGGTTGTGGTTTTCCGGTTCTAATTTCCTGGGCACGGTGTTTTCTTACAACGGCCCAATACAAGAAAATCCAGGACACACTAATTGGTAAAGGCTTAAAGGCTTTCAATGTACTGTTGATTTATTGACAGAATTGTACTATCGCGACTTCAATTCAATGTCAACTGTTTGACACTTTTGTAGTCGCGATCATTAACTATGCTTGTGAAGTTTGGGGCTATGGTACTTTTTCAAAATTGACCTAGCTAGAAATCACAAAATCCATCTTTCCCACCAATCTATAGCGTTTAAGTGCCTGTGTGACCTAGTTTTTGACCCAAAGTGACCCATATTCAAACTTGACCTAGAAATCATTAAAACAACCTTTCTAACCAATTTCCAGGATATTTGGACTAGAACAGTAGCCCCTGGGTGTTAATAAGGTTTCTCTATATTTAGTCTGTGTCACCTAGTTTTTCACCCCAGGTGACCCATATTCAAACCTGACTTAGAAATCATCAAAACAACCCTTCTGACCAATTTCCAGGATATTTGGATCAAACACTAGCCTCCAGTGTGTTAACAAGGTTTTTCAATATTTGGCCTGTGTGACCTAGGTTTTGACCCCAGTTGAGCCATATTCAAAGTTTACCTAGTCAGCCAAGTTAGTAAGTTATAGAGCAGACGGGAAATGTGGACATTTGACCTTAACGTGTGACATTGACCTTGGCGGTAGCAATCTGGATGTAACTTGTGGGTAGCAACCTGCATGGTGAGCTCCGCAGATTGTGTGATGGTGGGGATCACTTGTGCCAAGTAATTTTAAAACCCTTGAATTGTCAATAAGTTATGGAACATACGGACATGGAAAATAGATGTTTTCCCATTGGACTTTTAGTGTGGCCCTAAACTTGAGGGTAGTGACTTGATTGTTGTGCTCTGACATTGTGACATAATGGTGATCATTTCCTTTAAGTTATCGTAATAACATTGCAGCGGTTTAAATGTAATTAACGGTCACTTAATAAAGACTTTTTAACACTTGACCTTAAAGTTTGACCTTGTCCTTGGGGGTAGCAATTTAATTATTGTGCTCTGCGCATCGATTCATAATGGTGATCAATTGCGCCAAGTTATTGCAATTTTTTATCGGTTTCAAAGTTATGGAGCGGACACGAAAGTGTTACGGACGAACAGACAGACAGACAGACAGACAGACAGACGGAAGCCATTCCTTATATCCCCTCCCCGCTTTGTGGAAGGGGAATAATTAGCACCTAGCATAATTGTCTGGTGTTTCTGATTTCATTCATTTAAACGTTTTGACATCATACATCCACATGTTCTTATTGCACGCATTATTTACTAAACCAGTAACAAAGAAAAAAATATATACAAAAATGACAATTTAAAGTTCTCGAAAAAATAAATATCACAAACTTGTGCCTGTTTCATCAAATGACTATGCGAAAGGATTTTTAGCGGATAGACTAACAATAATCTGACCTTAACTATTAACTTGAAAGAGATAGAAAGCAAAAGTGTGTTCCGTATCGGACTGATTAGATATCAAATATGATTCTGCACAAAGCCATTTTGTGAAAACAAAATGAACCGATGCGCTATCTACCCATGCTATAAGTCAAGGACGAAAACACAAATTAAATAGCCTCAGGTGTAATGACTTGCGCCGCTACCTTTGCAGATTTTTTTTATGAACGCATATGATAAAATGTATGACATTCTGCATTTAGAGTGATATTATATTAAAAATTACATATGTATAAATTTTAAAACACTTTGGCGACCTTTTTTATAGAACGTTTATGCGAACTTTTGGAATAAATCTCGTACTGCTCTGGCATTGAACCATATCTGGTGTTAGAAAAGGCATAAAAAGTTTTTTTTTAAATACCTTTAGAACATTTAGATCCATGCCAGCCAGGTAGACAGAGACACTCTCCAGTTACCGAATTACATCCAGCGTCGTTGTGACAACCACACTCCTTACGGCAATTCTTATCATAATATCCAGGAGGACACTCTAAAATATCACACGCATATGATATAAATGAACTTTTATAGTTATAGAATTTACATAAAACAATTCTTGTTTAAAGCATTTTGTAAAATAGCAGTAAAACAATAATATCAACACAGCCCTACGTAAAAAATAAGAAAGTAGTAACATGCATTTTAAACATAATTTTAAACATCACAAGGGTATATATCCATACAAAGGAGCCTTCATACCAAATGTCAAGTATATAGATAAATCACTATGTCGCAGGTGAACTAAAATATCCATGCTAAATAAAACAAAGGGGTCATGATAATATCGCACCTGATTAAAATGCTCTTAATGACAAGGAACAATGGTATTGTAAACCAGATAAAATCTACATATACACTTGGAAATAAATTAATCACACCCCGGAAATTTAAAATTGGTTGTGATTGAAAGCACTGTCATGAGATGACGACTTATTTGAGCTAAGAAATAGTAATTTGATTAGTAGCGATTATCAATTTAGTAATCATAAACCAGTAAATTTATGAGTTTAGTTACTTCTTAACCAAATTATTGAAGCGTAAGCAAATTTGTTGTTTTTTACCAAAAATGTAAGTGTTTATAAGTATGGTGTTGGGGCATTTGGAAAACATTTACTGGTGGATATTTCTGGTAAATGTTGACGACTACGTAACCTAAAATGACATTATGTAGACAAATTTTAATAACGTGTGTAACTGCCACGTGCCCGGATGATAGTCTCATACTACCAGTAAGGCGTCTTATTCGATTTCGAGGTAAATTTTGCCATTCTTGGTGCAGAGCTTGTTCCAGTTGTTGCAGGTTGACTACAGGTGGTTCTTACCATTGCCCAAATAATATTTAAAATTTCAATTGTGGGCATGTCAAAATTAAAGCAAAATGTCGGTTGTGAGCAGAAGGGTTGAGACTAGCATCCGGGTACGTGGCAGTTACACACGTTATTAAAATTTGTCTACATAATGTCATTTTAGGTTACGTAGTCGTCAACGTTTACCAAAAATATCCACCAGTAAATGTTTGTAAACGCTCCAACACCATAGCAATTCTGCCTAAAAGGCTATAATTTGAACAAACTTGGAAGAGGTCTACTAGATATTTCATGACAAAAACGCGGGCTTTTGTAAGAAGCAGAATTTTTAAGTTTATACATATAAGAAAAATCTATGACCCCCAGGGCGGGGGCTAATTTTGACCCGAGAGCTATAATTTGAACAATTTTTTGTAAAGGTTCACTTTTTTTCATGCAAAATATCTAAGATACAGTCCTTGCAGTTTTCAAGAAAAAAATGAAGCATTTTCTTTATAAGAATAAGCCATGACCACATAGGGCAGGGTCAATTTTTACCCATGGACTTTAATTTGAAAACACTTAGTTGAGGTCTACTAAATAGTGTTTCATCTTTAGTCTTCGTGGTATTAGAGAGGAAGAATTTTTACTATGTAAATAATATGAAAATCTATGATCCCCGGGGCGGGCCCAATTTTGACCCAATGCTATATTTTCAAAGTTTTTTGTTGATGTTCATCAAATAATGTTTCTAATTTGAACAATTTTTAGTAAAGGTCCACTTAAGATTTTTTTCATGCAAAATATCCGAGATATAGCCCTTGTAGTTTTCAAGAAGATTAACTATGTAAGGAAAAGCCGTTACCTCCTGGGACGGTGCTAATTTTTGCGGAAGGGCTACAATTTTAACATTTTTTGTGGAAGGACATTAGATGATGCTACCTACAAAAGATCTAGACTTACACTTTAAGAGAAACAGATTTTAAAGTCTTCATTTTTATCAGCTATTTATAGCGCTTGTGAACCAGATGTTCAATGGAGCAGAGCCATTTGAACAATTTTTGTAGAGCTTTATGCTAGGACGATCCAGGGGTTAGTATCTCGAAGCTATCGTTAGCATAACGACTATCGTATACCTCTCGTTAAGGTTTTCACCGCTATCTCGACGCTCTCGTAATTAACGAATAATCGTTAACATGCCCAATTATTAACGGATGCCTAGAGGGTGTCGTAAGGCTCTCGTTACTATCATTTTGACACAAAAGTAAGAAAGGTGCGATTTTAAAGTACATAAAAAATGAGAATTATATCATTTTATTGATAAAAAATGATGAACCGACATAAATATAGTAGATCTATTGTATTTCTTTTTCTCATGAATTTTCACAGGCCCGTAATAGATTTTCTTGTGTAAATTCACTCAAAGAACTCTTTAATACAATTCCATAAAAAAATATCATTGATTATTTGAAAGAGATAAACTTGTATTCTTGGATCTAATTGGCTCAATTTTATTGTCATTTACAAAGTTTTACATAACATTTTATGCATATTATAGCATTCGACACGATATGGCCAGTTATGTGTTGACGACCCGTAAAAATCCAAACAAACAAAAATTTTCTCACATATCAAACATATGTAAAGCTGGGCTCCCACTGCCGATCAGATCAACTCGATCAAGCCCTATCAAGCGATCGGGTACTGGTCTGGGTCGGTCGGCATGATTGATCGGGAGTGGTCGGGGAGGTCTACCTTGGTCGGCATCGCTCGGGCTTTCTACCCGAATTTTTTTGACATGTCAAAAAAATTCGTGTAGCGATCGTGTAGCCAAGCGGTCGAGAAGAGCTCGGGAAGCGATCGTGTATTGATCGAGTTGAAGATCGAGTTGATCGAGAAACAATCGTGTAGCGATCTTGTTTGGTCGGATTGGCATCTTTAACCCGATCTGTACCCGATCATCTCGACTTCTACTCGAGTAATATACGATCGTATCCCGATTAAGTAGATCTCTGTTCGATCTCTTGTCCAGATTATCTAGACTGCTACCCGACTACTCCACGACCACACACGACCGCACACGATCAAACCCCGATCACTGTTCGACCATACACGAGCAGGTCCGACTAGTGGCGATTTAAGTCACCCACCTCTGTTTCAAGTGAGGCAGTTGCCGGCTACTGGCAAGGAGTTGGCGTGATATGATTGAAATACTTTGAAAAAGGGCATAAAATCAAGAAACAAACAATCAACTCTATTGTATATACATGTATACTTGAAGCTAATTTCCTCCATTAACAAACATATCATGGAAACTATCATATCCAAATAGAAGATGACTTACTATACTTAAACATATCGGAAATCACTTTAATAACTACTTAACTTGTGCATAATCGCATCATATAGGTTATACACGCCAAGCGTCATTAAAATATCTCTCCAAAGTAACTAACACACTAAATCATATTCTGTTGCCACTCAACTGAACCAGCTCGGGAGTTGAAGTAGTGTTTAAGGTAGTTCCTCTGACTGACCCCAGCGGATGTCACCACATTTCTTCCATGGGTCCGATCACCATCAGCCAACTGTCTTCCTTGGCGCCATTCACCAGGTACTTAATGGTTATGCTCGTCCTCTTGGTCGACGGCCAGTCTTGCAATGGCAGGGTACCGTATGCTGATAAGGTTATGCAGTGTGACACATGCAAGGATAATCAAGTCAACGGTTTCGGGCATCTGGTTCAAGCAGCCAAGTAGGCACTGAAACCGCATAGCGAGAAGACTGAAGGCATTTTCTACCACTCGTCTAGCCCTGGACAACCTAAAATGAAAGGATGGTGATGGTTTATAAGAACAAATTTCTGATTAAATGCATAGCTATTTTGCCAATAGTAATTCAAAAGATTGTCTAACCTGTAATTGAATATGCGCTCCTCGTTGGTCAAGTTGCGTCTGGAGTATGGCTTCATCATCCAAGTTCTCAACGGGAAAGCGTCATCTCCAATGAGGAAGTATGGGGTGTTCATGTCATCGCCAGGCAGTGGATCAGGGTCCGGCAAACCAAGGTTGTTTTCTTCTAGCATGGTTCTGAGTTCAGTGTTATTGAATAGCTGGGCATCGGATGCACTGCCATTAGCACCAACGCTTACCCAGATGAATTTGTAGTTTGCGTCTACGAGTGCGAGTAGTATTATGGTAAAGAAGCCTTTATAGTTATAGAACAGAGACCCAGAGTTCTTCGGGTTCTTTATCCTCACGTGCTTACCATCAAGAGCCCCGCAGACATGAGGAAAATTCCACTTGGTTCGGAAGTCATCTGCAATCTGCTGCCATTGTTCAGCAGTGACGACGGCTGGCAGCACCTCTTCAGAGTACTCCTGTATTATAGCATCCAAAACTTCAGGGACGAATTTACTTATTGTGTTTCTTCCCACTCGGAATGAGTACATCAAGTCTGAATACGAGGCTCCAGTTGCGAGATGACGAAGAGTGACCGCCAACTTCAATCCAGGCTCCAGGGCTTCCCTGAAATAGAGATTGAACAATGATAAGTAATAACTAGCCTACTATGATACAACGGTATTAAAGTTTCTTAAATATTAGTGACAATTGCACAGAGCTGTAGAAGTCAAATGGTTTGGGAAAGTAATTCGATGACTAATTATTTCAGAAATACGTGAAAATGATGGGGATCGAACCCATGATTTACCTGAAGTTGGTGTTCTTTTTCTGAATTCTGGGTGATATGCGATCAACAAGCTCCCCAAACATATCAGCGTCTACCCTTAGGAAATTTTTGTATCCTTTTGGGTCCTCCCTGTTTAGCTCCTGTAGCAGTTGCTCATAATGCCCATACAGTGGTCGTCGTGCAAGCCACTGCTTCATCCATATTTTCCTGCGCATTTGTCGCCTACATCTATGCCTACGACCCTCAGCCTCTTCCTCTTATTCCAACTCTAGCACAGCAATGGCCCTGTCTCTCTGGAGCTCTAACCATCTGGCCCACAACTGCAACTGCTCAATCTCCATAAATATTTATACTATGCTGGACACAACATATACTATGAAGTTTCAAGATGAAGTGATAATGATCAACACTGTTTGAAGTTTTTATTCTAAAAGTTTTGGTACACGACGGTTCACGACCTTCTACGACTCGAGTACGACCATGACGATCTGGTCGGGGAAAGATCTGACACCGATCGAGCAGAGATCCAGTAGGTCGAGTTGAGATCGTGTAGGGATCGTGTAAATGTCGGGATGATCGAGCGGAAATCGGAAAGGTGGTCGGGTTGACGTCGTGAAGGAGTCGTGAATAATCGTGTGGGAATCGTGTGTGATCGACAAGAGGTCGAGAAGAAGTCGTGTATACGCCTTTAGTCGAGCTTGGTCGGGCCTGATCGGGGAATTTGGGTGATCGGGATGATCGAGTTGATCTGATCGGCAGTGGGAACCCAGCTTTAAAGGTTCTCTACATTTTAATTTAAGACTTATGTTTGAATGCGGATGAAAGAAAACATATCATAACTTAAACAGCGAAAGGAATAATCTCCGTAATGTGTAATTTTGCACAAGAAAACATAAATAAATATATGCATACATCATGCTGAAAATTCAACAATATTCAAACTAGTTACAAAATTATATTTCGAAAAGTAAACTGTGACGTATTATGAAGAAAAGTGCATTACGTCAGCTGCAAAAATCGGTACCACAAAAAGGGATGTAATATATAGAAATGTTGTTTGTTTATAATTTTATATTAACATATATTTCACTCGCGAACACCAGCTGTTATAATTTAACTCGTTATATTTTAATTTATAATACAGCAAACATCCTTTGTTTAAAACAAAATGAAAATTTATCCATATTAATTAACAGCAGCCATGTATATATTTAGTAATACAGATTTTTGACAGGTTATATAGCCGTATATAAACGATAACCCGAGCCGCCAAGTGAGAGTTATATTGCAAACAAAATTATATCGGCCATATAACCTGTTAAAAATCTTTATAACGAATTGACAATACTGTAGAAAAAAGAGAGATTTCTTGATAAATTGACAGCAGCTGTGTATATAAACTATATAAACGCCAATTAAAATTGACGTAACAAACTTGCAGTAACAAACGTGCAGTATTATAAAAGATTTTATAATACTGCACGTTTGTCACGTCACTTTTCATTGGAGAATCGTGACATTTTTATAGTTTTATATACACTGTTTCTGGCAATTTTCTAAGAAATCTCACTTTTTTTCTCAAAAAAAGGGAAGTTCGCGGTTTTATAAATTCGTTATAAATATTTCTGACATGTTAAATGGTTGTAGGCAATATAACCATCGCCTAACGGCTCGGGTTATATTTCCAAACAGTCGTTTATGTAGGGCAATATTACCTGTCAAAAATCTTTATAACTAATAATATAAACGTCATGATTATCCTATGAAAATCGACTTTACATATTTAATATATATTTATGCTTATGAAGTAATTGTTTTGCTCATTGCGTCATTGTTAGGCGCATGACGTCTTTGCAGCTGTGTAGCAAGTGGGATTTTAGAAAGAGTTGCTGTACATATGTTTGTTTAAAGGGTAAAATTTTGTTATGTTTCGTGAAAATATAGTCCATATTTCACTCAAACGGAAAGCAACAATGAAAGCAACATTTTCAAATTTGAATATTGACAGTATACTTACACCCTAACACAACATGTTGCTATAGCCTGAAGAATGAGGGATGGTTATCTGTTCCCAGATTTTTTGACTGGTATTGAGAAGAAGCTCCGCCAGAATATTGGCTTTAACTATGTAAAGAGTTTAAAATATCGGACTACACTGCTAAATCTTCAGTCTCTGCGTTTATATATACAGTCGTTTTTTTTTTTGCAGTTTCTATGTTAAGTTCCCGCCCCGCCCCTCAATTAGAAATCACGCCTGTTTCATTGGAACTTTCAACAGGGGCAGTTCCAATGACTGTTCTCTTTTTTTTAAAGGAACCGTTTTCGTAGGTTTACCACTATCACAATTGATATTATCAAGGCAATCGGGATTTTCATCGCAAAACAAGTCTATATTGCTAGACGACAGACCGGCGGAATCTGCACGTGTCGTGTGATTGTGTTCCGGTTTAGCATGATCGTAACCTTATATTCACCTTCGTCTACGCAAAATAATGTTTCGGTGAATATAAACAAGAGCTGTACACAATTTTCGGGTACATGTATTCAAATGATAACACAACGCAATCGTTAATAACTAACGAGTAAGCAACGAACGATTGCTTAACTACTGCTTTCGAGATACCCGCGCTAGTGTCTCGTTAACCAACCCTCCGTCAATCGTTAGCACGTTCGTAAACGCAAATATAACGATAGCTTCGAGATACTAACCCCAGGACAAATTTAATAAATTTTGACGAGAAGTCGTTTGAAACAAAATTGACGGCGGACGCACTGACGGACGGTGTGATAACAAAAGCTTAACAAGGGCAACACTGTCGCTACATACGCTCGTCCGAAAAGCATTGACAGAGATGAGGGCATTATAGATATGCATATTGGAGATATGCTCTGGGCAATATACAGAAAATATCTAGATAATTTATCATCTCTAGTAACTTTGACCTTGCAAATATTAACCTAAATACATATGTCGCACTTGTAGTCATGGCAGTTTGATAGTTATCATTAATGTTACAATCCATTAATAAATGATGACTAAATGGTCCCCGAAAACTAACTTTGACCTCTCTATGTGACCTTGACTTGGGACCTGTATTATGTACACAATAAGCCTCACAATGGGGAACATTTGTGCCAAGTAATATCACTATCCCCCGATTGTAGAAGTTCGGCTCCAAACGAGCATTTTTCAATGACCTCTTAGTGTGCCCTTAACCTTTAGCTTAGAGACCTGGTCCATGCACGTGGCACTGCTTCTTATAGTGTTGAACATTTCTATGGAGTTTCATTAGAATCTAACCATGCGCGAAGGAGATATGCTCTGGACAATATTTCTTTATTTTATTATTTTGACATTGACCTTGCATATATTAACCTACATTACATTTTTCACACCAGTAGTTATGATAATGACAATTTGTGTTTCAATCCCACAACGAATGATCACTAAATGGTCCGAATACACATTTTACATATTTTTATCTGAATTTTGACCTTGTGTGACCTTGACCTTGGCCGCAGGGACCTGAATTTTGCACGCGGCACTCCGCCTTACAATGGTAAACATTTGTGCCAGGTTATATTGAAATACCTCTATGTATGTAGAAGTTTTGCAGCGAACAAGCGTTTTTCAATGAACTCTAAATGTGACCTTGACCTTTGATCTAGAGGCCTGGTGGCTGGATATATGCACAACACAGCTTCTTATAGTGGTGAACATTTCTATGAAGTTTCTTTAAAATTCCTCTATGCGTGTAGGAGAAATGCTCCAGACAAAATTGGACGCCGCCCGCCCGCAAGGGAGCACTATAATACGACTCGTTTTACAAATGATAAGTATATATATATAACAACATGAATTCTAATTTATTACGCCTAAATATTCAATTGTATGTAATGCTTACTTTCAGTGCAGTTAAGACCAGTTCTGCCAGCTGCACATATACACAAACCAATTATAGGATCACACGGACTATCAACACACTGGCACGTTGATGCACAATTCTTACCATATCGTCCGTGAGGGCATGCTAAACATGCAAAAATAATCAATAACATAAAGCACAAAACAACTATTTTTGAACTTATAAAAAGCACACAAATACATGCATAAATAGTAAGTGGAAATCATTTCAACTTAAATGGACAAAGTGAATACAAAAAGACCTGCATATTAATTACATTGAAATAAACATTCACACCAGGGCCACAACATTGACAAAAATTATTAAACTAAAAAAACACAAGATATGCATTTCTTAACTTGGTACTGACCATTCAAGTAATAGGATGAAATTACACTTTTTGTTTTTGAGCAGAAGTCCAGACAAGTTTTGTGATAGACAGAAAGGCGGACAGATGGACCACGGAGAATGGATATATATATATGGCACGGCTATTTTGTAGCATGTAACAGCTACTGTGTAGCAGGCGACAGAAAAATCAAAGGCAAAAAAGCCTTTTAAATCAAGGGTAAAATTCAACTGAAAAACCGCGTACTTAAGGAACCGGTCCAACTGGTAAAGTTTAATTTAAACTGCATTAATGAAACAGAGTAGTCATACGGACAGCCGGACAGACAGACGACGGAGAAGTGATCCCTATATATCACCGCTACTTTGAAGCTGGCGACATAAAATGGACTGTCAAAAGATAAAAAAAGATTGGCTAAGAAATAGATATGCTCTGTTATGAAAAAATATCTAAAAAAAAAATAATATAAAAAATAAGAAAGTTCAAAATTCTTTTAAAAGTGATAATATCAGGGACGGACAGACAGAGGAACTGAAGACACTCTGCTGGTAAACCTTTAAACAGCCCTTGTTCTTACCAGAATATAACATTCTAAAGAGGAGATAACTCTTGAAATAAAGATGCTAGACTAGAGAACGTTGTCATATATAATGTGAGTGATGACAAAGAACAATTATCTTAAGTTTGAACTAGACACCATTTATATAAGTAAACAAAATCACAATTTTCAAATATACCATTTATAGTAACAAAGAAGAAAAATATAAGCAACAAATGTCGAACGACATATATGCCTTTGACTCATACTATTGGTAATTTTGTTATAGAAACATGCCATAAATGGATACATGGAAGTGTTCAGTAATGAAAAAAGACAAATAATGACCAATAAGAGACCTGAAACTGAATGAAAGCTATTATTAGTATAATGAGCGTAAACCATTGTGACAATCAATGTCCCTGTGACCTTGACCTTTGACATAGTGACCCCAAAAGAGGTCATCTACGATAGTTTTTAAGATAATCAGCGCAAACCATGTCTACCGACGGACACACCGACCAACATTAGCAAAACAATATACCCCGTCTTCTTCGAACGGGAGGGGGGGGGGGGGGGCAGGGTGGTGCATAAAATATAACAATTTTAAAATGAAAATAATAATGTAAACCCTAGACTTATAAATCTAATCTCACATGATGTTGGTGTTGATAAAGAACATATATTATTTTCAATTTAAAGTAAATAAATAATGATGCAGAAAAAGAATGTTAAAGAATGAATAAGGAAAATTCAAAGTTTAAGGAGGAGATAATTCTGGAAATATGGACGCTAGATTTATAAACGTTGTCAAATTATTATGATGCGGGAGGCTGCAGTTTGAAGTAAATCCTTTATGAAATGAAGAAATTTGAGTAAAAAATAATTATTTCCAGAAAAAATATGAAACCAAGGGGGATATAATTCTGTAAATAGTCAAGCTAGAGTCAAGCTAGAGTATTTGTATTTAATCTTCTAGCACACGATTTGAGTGATAATATATTTAAAGTAGAAACATTAAGAAATAAAGAAGTTATAAAAAACAACAACTTTTTCATGTAAATTTCAAGTTCAATGGGTGTAATTGTGATAATTTTGAGTTGTGAACCTCATCACGTATGATATGGTTGGTGATCAGAACACATATTTGAAGTTTGAAGTAAATATCTTAAGAAATAAGGAACTTATAGTGAAAAAGAGTTTACTGTATTTAAACTTTAACGCGGTCGCCGACGCTGTGTGAGAAGGATAGCTCTCAAATATTCCATATAATCAAGCTTAAAATAATGTGTATAATCTACAGACTGTCATCTACCCATATTTCAAGTTTCATAAAATATTTTATGCACTTTTTGCGTTATCACTGAATCCAGTTTTTGTATTAAATATGTCATATTTTAAAGGGACTCCACTGAGGTTTTTTTGACATGACGGGACTGGAAATATTTTTTGAGATTATTACTCTATTTGATATAGATCTATACTAATAACTTATGTGCAAAATTTCAGACAATTGGCTTATTCCGTTTTTCCAAAATAATAATTATAATAGTGAAAAGTGACCCAAAAATGAAAAGCATTCAAACGCTTTTCACTCGAATCGGAATAGCACAAACATGCGATTTTCAATGTATTTCTTGTATGTTTCTTAGTTATATTTCATTGATATTTTTGTTTTAAGTGCTCATGTTGATCTATGTGAAAAATTAAAATTTTATGTTTTTAGGCTTATTAACCTGAATGGAGTTCCTTTAAGTCTATTTGATGCTATAGCAACCAAATACATTTGTATGTCAACATAGGAAGACAACAAAGATGTGCATAATCCCAAGACTGCCATATACCGTCTATAAAGTTTCATAAAAATATTTTCAGTACATTTTGTACCGGGATTCATATTGTGGACGGACGGACGGGCGGATGGTAAACCGGTGGACTAATAACTGAAAAACGAAATATACCAACACAGTAAATAGATTTATAAAAAAAATGAGATCTCTTCGAATTAAATATGTTTTTTAAATTTCTTAGAAAGAGATTATAAACCTTTATTCAGAAATCTAATTATCCTGTGATTTTAACCCTGATCTTGGACAATACATTATAGTATTTATAAAGGATATATATGATTGTAAAAAAAATCTCTAGGAAATAATTAAGAACCTATGAAAAACACTGAATATAAAACTTTCTCAAGGAAAAAGATCAGCGAAAAATATACTTTATATAAGAAATTTAAGTGTAATATACATATTCCTAGTAAATAATGGATTAAGAAACTGTGATGGAAGCTCTTCAGAAGATATTTTAGGATGAATCTATTTGATCTTAGGCCGCCCGAGAAATTACCTACACAGTATATGTGAGAAAAGAAGATTATAACCATGCTTCAAGAAAAATTGGTAAAAATGGTTTATTATGTTCTACCTAATCTGACAAGACCTTTCAAAACGCATTTCAAAACGTGAGAGCTACTCCTTATTTAAAACCTCATAATTATACTTTAATAACCTTTAATCATTTTTAATCAATTATAATAATTATAATCATAAAACTGTAAGAAGATTTTCTGCACGTGTTAAAATTTTCTTTCATTGCCTAGTAAATGTGTAAAATGTGCAGTACTACTATTAACGTGTTTAGGATATATTGATACATTAAATATCTTACGTTGATTGCAGTTTCGACCCATGGTTCCGGCAGGGCAATTCTGAATGCATTCGCCAGTCACGTGATCACATTCCATGTCGTTATCGCAGCGGCATTGCATTGAACAGCCAATGCCGTAGAATCCATTTGGACAGCCTTGCTCACAGCGGGGTCCATGAAATCCAGGCTTGCAAATGCAGTCACCTGTCTGTTACAAACATTCCACAGTTACTTCAAGTCGTCGCCGATAAGTGTCAAACTTACTTATTTCAGAACAATTATGCATTCGTTTAACTTGTCAACTTTAACTTATTAACTTTATAAAACATGTTTATTTCATCTATGACTTTTGATTTTAATCATAGCATAAATTGAAAGAAACAGTATAAAAATATTACCTTAGCGTTACACTTATTTGTTTGTCCTTTGTTACAATCGCAGTGCTGAATACAATTTCCACCATACGTAAATGGAGGGCAAGGAATATTACAAGAAAGTCCGAAAAAACCAGGATTACACTCACAGAAACCAAACGTTCTATCACAATATCCTGTAAGTAAGAAATGCCTAATATATTCTGACAAATTTATCTTCTATCATTATGCAATTAACAGGATAGATAACATTTTATCTAAAAAGCAAATTTATCACACACCCGTGCCGATTTTGCGACTCGCAAAAATGGTGTTGCAAGGCCGTGCATATATTTTGACGTGACGTCATTTACGTTACATAGTGTAAAGACGCGCTAAATGTTACACCCCTACGAAACAGTGGCTCTTCACATTTTGGTGATCTGTTTAAATGTGGACCACCGACACAATCGATCAAAAAGTCAGAGTATTTTGTAAAAATATCCATTTAAAAAGATCATGCTTGTTTTTCAAAAATCGAGGAATGTCATGCCACATAGAACATTTTTCTTATCATGTTGGATGCAGTTTCGATAAGAAATACCCAAAAATGACGTTGCTAGAACTTTTACCAAATATAAACTCGTGTGTTTATTTTACGAGAAGACACATTTTGAGTTATTTCCCTACCGTAAAATTGATGCTAGCCCAATTAATCATGCATGTACCATTGTTCCAACCTCCCCTTTTGGCCAAACACACAAAATAACTTACAGAGCTTAGTTAAGCTATAAGATACCTAATGTAGAATCTCCTTTATGAAGAGTATTCGTTTTTAGTGAGGGCATAGAGTTTCGATAAGCTTGGGTTCAAACTCTAGAAGATGCAATTTTGTCTTTTGTCTTCTTTTTGTTTGGCCTAATTTTGATTTCTTTTCTTATTTTTTATAATTATTATATAAAATCTGAAATTAATTAAAGTTTTATGCATAATTTTTACTGTTAATTGTGAAAAATTGGATAGGACAACAACTTTAAATAATTATAATTTAAAATCAATGTTTAGATTTGTATCAAGATAATTATGAAATAACTAATTTGATGCCCATATTTCATAAACAGCTTTTCTTACCCCACCCTCTTCTTTTTTGATGTAATATAACAAGCACCTGTTTCTATAAACCAAAAAAAAATCTTTTCATAGACAATTGTCATTGATTTTATTTGTAGTTATTTAAAACTATGCTTCTTTACAAGAATTTTTCAACTAAGACTCGAGAAATATTTATTTTCCATACCACTTGATGAAAATAAATCCTGTATTTGCAAAAGAAACTTGAATATCCGCTATGTTTTTTTTAGTATTTATGTCCAGAGTATAGTACAATTTATTAATATAAAGTTTTAAATGTTTTCTGAAAAAAGTGTTAATTTCAAATCTTTTACCTTAAAAACCAAATTTTCACAATTTTTTTGCATTGTGATCGAGCCATCGACAAGATGCTGGCGCCATCGGCAACGTAAAAGAGCCCTCGACATTGTGATAGAGCCATCAATATAATTTAATAAGTGATAATTGTGGAGTTTTACCGTTATTGCGTAACTGATCAACAAGTAAGTGTTAATATATTGGTCAATCAATGAATAGTGGCGTAGCTACTATTAGGCCATGTAGGTCCGGGCCTACAAGTTGGTCAAGAAAATGATATTTTCAAAAGTTCTAAAAATGCAATAAAAGCAGGCGGGGATGGGGCTGGTAGTGGGTTAAAGCCATATGGTCAAATCAAGTGTGTTTTAGGCTTATGCATGATTTACCGTCCTCGGTAAAGTTGGCATCCGATCAAATTCATAGTTTAAAATTATTGTTTTGATAATGTTCCTTGAAAATACTTTGAAACGCGCATTTCTCTCTTTTTAATCTGAACTTGGTTTTGGCTTCTGGGGGCTCAGCCCCCAAGACTCTCTTTTATGGGCTTACAAGTTGAAAAAAAAGCTGGCTACTGGCCCTCTGATGAAAATTCTCCATACCAAAATAAAGGGGAACAATCTGCTGCACCAGTTACTTTCATTTTCGATTGAAAATTTGACGTATCGGAAAAAGGTTCGTTATAGTTTCATATGATGATTTGATTGAACAGTTATTACATATAGTGATTTAATTTTGTCATTTTTAAATGCGCAATACAAAAAAATATTCATTTATTTCGAATAAACTGTCGTTCAGTCGGGAAATTTTCACATTAACCCAGCGGCAACATCTCTTTCGACTTATGCTTGCGGTGACTTCGAGATTATACATATCTTCCTTTAACTTGAAATCTTTGTAATGACAGCTTTATTTCCTTTAAGAGAATCAATAACCTACAATTTGGTACCAGGATTTTGAAATTTTGAGAAAAAATGTTGGCGTTATGGATTTATGTACAGACCCAATCAAACCGAGTCTGCAATTTTCATGCAAGTTTTAAAAGTGGGTAAAGGGGGGTGGGGGTGGGGGGAGAAGACCAATCAATGCGCCGAACACTTGAGCTCAACAGCTGTTTGGCTAAAAGCTGACGACACACAATATGAAATATTTGTTCAATTTGATTACTTAATGTTGCACGAAAGTAAACTAGTGTTCACATACAAACTGCTCTACTTGTGTGTGCTTTACCTTTTACATGTATTGCTGAAGTGTTTGGTACAAAACTTGCATGATTGGCTTTTCTTAATATTTTTTACCGCATCTTTGTTGATCAGCGGGATAATTCGATCATAATAATCATTTATTGAATGATATTGTTGTCTCTATCACATTTTCAAGGGATCTTATACATTGCCGATTGTGATTTAACTTAGCTCTGTAAGTTATTTTGTATGTTGGGCCAAAAGGGGAGGTAAGGACAATGCTACATGCATGGTAAGTGGGCTAGCATCAATTTACGGTAGGGAAATCACTCAAAATGTGTCTTCTCGTAAAAAAAACACACGAGTTTATATTTGGTAAAAGTTCTAGTAACGTCATTTTAAGGTACGTTGTTATCGAAACTGCACCTAACATGATAAGAAAAATGTTCTACGTGGCATAAAATTCTACGATTTTCCATTTAAAAAAAGCTTGATCTTTTAAAATGGATATTTTTCCACAACAGAAGTGTCCATGGTCCTCATTTAATTAAATTTGGGTATGCAATAAATATAATATTATAGGTACGTTCAATAACTAATATCTAACATCTTGAGGCTCGCATAATATAATTTTATTCAACTCGTTCAATTAATTCAGTATTGAACTTACATTCCTTCAATATCCTATTTTTATTAGTGCAAATAGCATATTGTTTGACAAAAGGTACCTCCAATTTTAGAAGTTTTCATATCTTAACTGTTTGAAATTTCCAGATCTGTTCTCGCTTAATTAGAAAATGACAAATGTTCCGCCACATAAATATCCCGCAGTTCCAATGTGGTGATTACATGACCGAAGTGTTAATATCATTTAACACAAAAATAAAAAGACGGAATATATATATAAGTTCATAAAAAAATGAAAATTCACCAAGAGGACCTATCAATAGCAGAACATTATTGTAAGTAAAAAATAAAAAATAAGTTAACGTGCAAAATATAAAGTCATCCTATCTCAGTTTATTCTATATGCATTACAGTGCTCCTTAAAATTTGGGGAAAAAATCCTAAAATGTGTCAGTAAACAAAAGGAATATCCAATGAAGTTCAAAGTTCATTTTTCTAAATGTAATATCAGTATAGATTTAAATTAACAATCAGCTCTGCGGAATAAGACATTTTAGCTTTTCAGTAAAAGCTTATTTTCACCAAATATGCATAACTTGAGCAAACATAGTAATCAAAGCACAGAAGGCGCTGAATTTGTTTGGGTCTCAGAATGTCAGAAAGGTGAAGTTTGTGAGATTATAAACCAATTTGTTTCTGTATAGTGCCACCAATGCTGTTTCCAGTGTTATAACTGTAGTAAATTGGCTATAAGGCTAATTGCAACACTTATATTCAATTCAATGTTTATTTGGCATAAACAATTTAATAATAATAATAATAATAATAATAATAATAATAATAATAATAATAATAATAAAAAAACAAAAAACAAAAAAAACGTGAGTTCCCTAACTGGAATTGAACTTCAGACCTCTCGCTTCCTAAACGAGCGTGCAACCCCTCGACCACGGGGAAGTTATAAAATAACAGACTAAAGAAAACCACATTATTCTAAATTAGGGTTTGTAACCCTTATTAATTTCGAGATATTTTGTTCACGGTGAACCTGTTGTTTAACACTGATGTAAATAATCATGAATCTTGATATTAGCATGTATATCTGTAAAGAATTACACAACATTAGAAAATCGGGAACTTTTTTTCTTCACCGGGAAGGCTTTAAAATCAATGCGCCTGTCATTTGACAATGTTTACGCATTGATCTCCCCTTAATTTTTCGGCGTATTTTTTCTTATAAAGTGAAGTAACCGCTTCGAGGAATTCGGACTACTTTCGGTTTTTGCAAATAAGCATGTCTGGAATTTCGCTACCATTATGTGTTTGGTCTGACGACCCAAACAAATAAAAACTAGGTCGAGTGGTTTCAGAAAAAAAAAAAACAGAGAAATTATTAAAGTCGTTTACAACTTTAGTCTATATGTAAAAGATGTCGCCTCTGGACAGGATTGATTTCAACCCCAATGGCATTTTTGAACAAACTGGTTATAAAACGCCTTAACTTTGCTACACTGCAAACACATCTGACATTTCTTTTTCAAATGATTTTTCTCACAAGCTTATGTAAATGTAAAAAGGAGCGGCTCCAGGAAACATTGGCAAGTTAAAACGCACGATTCAGTAGGAGCGATTCAGTAGGAGCGAGATGAACATTAAAACTAAAGGCGCGCAATATTTTAGCCGTATAAAAAGTAGGAGATCTGTTATAGAAGACACATAAGCAAGGTTTTCCATTACAGAAATGTTCACGGTAATCACCCGTAAAAAGAAAGTTCAACTGTTTGCAAACCAAATGATTGCATTGACCTACTCATTTTGAAAATTTCTATGTTGTAACAATCAAAAAATGAATTAATACCTTTACGCTTTTGAATAACAAGAGGGCCAAGATGTCCCTAGATCGCTCAACTGACCCATCGAACTCATCCGAGCAATAACCCTGACAAGCATCATGAAATGAGTAAAAAATGTGGTCTCTAGAGTGTTAAGAAGAGTTTTCCATATTTGAGCGGTGTGACCTAGTTTTTGACCCCAAATTTTTTCTATTTTTAGCGCTTGTCACCTGGTTTTTAATCCGAGATGACCAATGTTCAAACTCATCCGAGCAATTACCTAGACAAGCATTCTGACCAAGTTTGATGACGATTGAGTAAAAAAATGTGACCACCAGAGTGTTCACAACGTTTTTTCATATTTTGGCGGTGTGACCTAGTTTTTGACCCAGGTGAAACTATGAACTTGACCTAAAAATTATCAAAACAAACTTTCAGACCAATCTCTAGGACATTTGGATGAAAAACAGTAGCCAATAGAGTGTAAACAAGATTTTATAACTTTAGCTCATGTGACCTTGTTTTTCATCCGAGATGACCCATGTTCAAACTCATCCGAGCAAGTACCCAGACAAGCATCCTTACAAAATTTGATGATGATTGAGTCAAAACATGTGACCACTAGAGTGATAACAAGGTTTTTCCACATTTTGGATGTGTGACCTAATTTTTGAACCCAGGTGACCCATATTCAAACTTGACCTAGAAATCATCAAAACAAACTTTCAGACCAATTTCCAGGATATTTGGATGAAAACAGAAGCCACTAGAGTGTTAACAAGATTTTTCTATTTTTAGTTCCGAGATGACCAATGTTCGAACTCATCCGAGCAATTACGTAAACAAGCATCCTGCCCAAGTTTGATGATGATTGAGGCAAAAATGTGACCGATAGAGTGTTAACGAACAAATGTGGACGGACAACGGACATTCAACGATCCTAAAAGCTCACCCTGAGGAAGCTCAGGTGAGCTAAAAGTCAGTGGGCACCATGAGAATAGACGAATGGGCCATAATGGCACTTACATCGCTCATCTGATTATGAAGGCTCAATCCAATTTTATTTGACCTTGTTTTTGACCGAAGATGACCCATATTCGAACTTGACCTAGAAATCACCAAAACAACATTCCTGACTAATTTCAATGAAATTTGAATCAAAACCGTAGCCTCTAGAGTGTTAACAAGGTGATTCCATATTTGGTCTGTGTGACCTAGTTTTTGATCCTAGGTGACCCATATCTGAGCTTGACATAGAAACCATCAAAACAAACCGTCTGGCCAATTTTCAGGATATTTGGATCAAAACAGTAGCCTCTAGAGTGTAAGAGATTTTTAGGGCTGTCTGACCTAGTTTTTGAACCAAAGTGAGTGTTAACGAACATATATGGACGGACGACAGACATTCAACGATTCTAAAAGCTCAATAAAAAATTTTTGGTGCCGTCATTGCGAAGACTACAGATGCAATATCGACTCGACAAAACTTACTTAAAATCATATCGTTTTTGATATTTATTGAAATAAGAACATCATAAATTCTACTAAATTATATTCGTGTAATCTTCTTGTTGACATTATTCGAATACCTGTAGGACAGTCCCTTGGACATTTCTTCTCACAGAACTCTCCAAAAAACCCTGAAGGACAACCATCTTCACATTTGTCTCCCTTTACTCCCGGTGGGCATTGACATCTCCCTGTCATGTGATCACATGTTCCACCATTTAGACATGTACACGTATTGTTACAATTTTCTCCAAATGTTCCCTGTTAAAAGTTAGATCGGTAAGAAATATTAAAGAATAATATAAGGAACACATTTTGCTATGAATGATATGAGTAATCGATACTGAAAACAAAACACGAAACAATAGCAAACATACATATTGCTCTATATGCATACTGCAAAATTAATCAAGGACCATAACTCTGTGTTGAAGGGTCTGACCAGAACAAGGCAATGATATGCGCAACTCCTCTTGGTATTGATTGTTCCAATAAAGTTTCATTGAATTGCAGCCAGTCCTTGCAGAGAAATTGCGAGAAAACGATTATTGCCCTATATGCAAACTGCATAACTAATCAAGGGCCATAACTCTGTGTTGGAGGGTCTGACCGGAACAAGGCAACGATATGCACATCTCCTCTTGTTATAAAGTTTCAATGAATTCCAACAAGAAATTGCGGAGAATTAGCGGGGAAACGATTATTGCTCTACATGTATCTGCAAACTGCGTAACAAATCAAGGGTCATTACTCTAAGTTAAAGGCCTGACTGGAACAAGGCGATGATATGCGCATCTAAACTTGGTATTGATTGTTCCCATACAGGTTCATTGAATTCTAGTCAGCAGTTGCAGAGGAATAGCACGGAAACGATTATTGCTCAATATGCATACTTCATAACTAATCAAGGGCCATAACTCTGTGTTGAAGAGTCTGACCGGAACAAGGCGACGATATGCGCATCTCCTCTTGATATTGATGGTTTCCATAAACTTTCCAATAAAGTTTCGTTGAATTCCAGCCAGTATGTAAATAAATAAATAAATGAATAAAAGTGAGTGAGTGAGTGAGTGAGTGAGTAAATGAATGAATGAATGAATGAATGAATAATGAATGAATGAATGAATGAATGTCATTTTTAAAAAAAAAATTTACAGATGCAAGTATTATATTATTTATAAAACATATATAAACATGAAATGTAAATACTGTGTGGACATTTAATAACATTTCTTTAATCCACGGATCACGACATATACAACAGATAATATATGTACGGTATACGAAAGACCGGTGGAAACATTTACGAAAGATCTAGACCGGTGGGGACATTTCAACTTCACGCTCATGAATTTCCAGTTTCATCCTCGTGATTTCACAAATTTAACTTTCACGATTTCAACTTTACAGATTCACGATTTTAATTTAATTTATTCATGTTTTAAATATTATGATTTCAACTTTATCAATTTTTCTTTTTTGGCTTATCATTTTAAAATATCATTATGATACTGACAAAGAAATTACAATATAACATGATTCACCATAATAATTTTTCCAGAATAATTATTATAATAGTGAAAAATGACCCAAAATTGAAAAGCGTTTAAACGCTTTTCACTCAAATTGGACTGAGAATAGCACAAACGTATGTATGCTTTTCAATGTATTTCTTGTGTATTTCCTATTTGTATCTTATTTATATTTCTGTTTAAAGTGCTCATGTTTATCTCTGTGAAAATTAAAATGTGATGTTTTAGGCTTATAAACCTCATAGGCGTTCCTTTAAAGGGTCTGACCAAAACAATTTGATGATTAGTGCATCTCCTCTTAGTATTGATAGTTCCCATAAAGTTTCGTTGAATTCCAGCCAGTAGTTGCAGAGAAATAGCACGGAGACGATCACTGCTGTTTATGCATACCACATAACTAATCAAGGGCCATAACTCTGAGTTAAAGGGTCTCACATGGAACAAGGCGACGATATGCGCATTTCCTCTTGGTATTGAAGGTTCCCGTAAAGCTTTGTTAAATCCCAGTCAGTAGTTGCACAGAAGAAGCGCGCGGAAACGATTATTGTTCTAGTGTGAATAAGTGTTAAAGAAGTGTTTGATAGTTAGAAATTAGCTATTTCCACACACACACACAAACACACGCACGCACGCACGCACGCATGCACACACACAAAACAACGACAACAAAATCAAATAAAACTAGAAATGTGTCCATAGGACACGGGTGCCCCCACCGCGACACTGTTCTATCAATCTTTTTACTAAGTCAAGGGAAATAACTCTACAAATACTGGATAAATCCACAAGCGAAACCCCAGGTGCAAATCTAAAATATGCTGAGCAACCTGCCCATAAGGTTTATTGACTATGTCAAATCCTTTTTGAGAAACTTGCGACACAAGTTGAAAATTGCAAAAATTTTCTAAGTGAAGGGCAATAACTCTAAAAATACTAAATAAATCCAGACGAAAATATCTGGTGCACAACTGCACATGCTGATCAATATTCCTGTAAAGTTACATGACTCTAGGTCAAATACTTTTTGAGTTATGTGCGACACATGTTGAAAATTGCCAAATTTTACTAAGTCAAGGGCAATAACTCTGAAAATACTAAAAATATCCAGACGAAAATACCCAGGTGCACAACTACACATGCTGATCAACATTTCTGCAAAGTTTCATGACTCTAGGTCAAATACTTTTTGAGTTATGTGCGACACAAGTTGAAAATTGCAAAATTTTACTAAGTCAAGGGCAATAACTCTAAAAATACTAAAAATATGCACACAAAATACCAAGGTGCACAACTACACATGCTGATCAACATTCCTGTAAAGTTTCATGACTCTAGGTCAAATACTTTTTGAGTTACATGCGACACAAGTTGAAAATTGCAAAATTTTACTAAGTCAAGGGCAATAACTCTGAAAATACTAAAAATATCCAGACGAAAATACCCAGGTGCACAACTACACATGCTGATCAACATTCCTGTAAAGTTTCATAACTGTAGGTCAAATACTTTTTGAGTTACTTGCGACACAAGTTGAAAATTGCAAAATTTTACTAAGTCAAGGGCAATAACTCTGAAAATACTAAAAATATCCAGACCAAAATACCCAGGTGCACAACTACACATGCTGATCAACATTCCTGTAAAGTTTCATGACTCTAGATCAAATACTTTTTGAGTTACGTGCGACACAAATGTGAACGGACGGACGGACGGACGGACGGAAGGACGGACGGACGGACGGACGGACAAGGGTAAATCTAAATGCCCGCCACTAACGTGGGGGTACAAAAATTGTCACGTATCACATTATTTGGACAGTTATTTGTCTCTTCTACAATTCAATGCAATACTTTAAACATTAGCTTACCCCTTACCGTTGAAGGTTCAAATGCCGATTTAGACTTGTAATTCTTTCACATAAGAAAGATTTTCGGCTAGATTACAGAACATCGGTCGGTGGTTCTACTCATTTCCTGGTTCGTGACTGCAATAATGCACTGAGTAGCATTTGAGGCCCAAAAAATTATAATGTGTTTAAATTGATCATAACCACAAATGAGCCCTTATAATTTTTTATTCCTAAAATGCTACTCAGTGCATTTATAAATAATAAAGTGACTGATAGATTGAAAACCACTGAACAAAGAAAAAACACTAAGTTAAGCATTTTCGGTGCCGTCCGGGTTTCATGGTTGTCCGGTTTTGGTGGTCTCCAACCAGTACAGTAGAAATACAGACAGGAAATTCAAGAAAAGAAATGCCATATATATATAGTATTTTTTTTAGTAAAATGCTACTATTAGATCTACCAAGTGTATAAAAGACATAAATACACGTCATAGTTGTGCCAGAAGGTGATAATCGGGCTAAAGCCCTCGGGGCCATTATTCATTTTGCGGGCCGATTATCACCTTCCGGCCCTACTCTGTCGTGTATTGATCTCTTAATAATTATTATGCATTTTTCTTTGTTAAATTATGTGTAAATGAACGTTGTATGAATGATATTAAATATATCTTAAAGGAGCGTTTGTCAAAGCGATCAAATGCTGTGTGTTATTACAAATGGAATAGTTGTTATTGTTTGATGATGATATTTTTGTTTGTGTTTTCATATACTGTTTAGAAGGCCACATTTAAATTTAAGATATGCTATTGTTTTTGACAATGATATATCGTCATGTGTTACCTTCTTTAAATACATGTATTATTATTATTATTATTATCATCATCTCAACCATGAATGCTCGTTTTTAACTTACTAATTACATTTTCATAGCAAATAAATTGTTTTCTTGATAAACAAGAAAATTTTTACATACATTCGTATGTAATATAGGTACAATTGCATACTAACTCCTGTGCATGCTGCATGAAAGGTGTTATAAAAAATGAAACAACATGTCATCAGATATTTTCTATTTTTAAACGTTTTCATGGAATGTAATAAATGTATCATAATATTAAAGTTTCATGCCTTCTGATTAGGAAAGTGTTTTGAAGAAAAGAACAATGCATGACTAATTTACTGCTTTAAATAAAAAATTAAATTACACATCTTCCACTGAACATACCTTAATATGAAAATCTTGCAAACCCACAGAAATAGAAAAAAAAACACAATAAAAACCGTTTTTCCCCGCGTATTTTGTTGTTTTTTTGAACTCGTAAATCTGGTCACCAGTTTATTTAAAACATACCTTACACTTTTCTTTCTTTTTTTATCTTACAGAGCATTAAAACCCATTCAAATATATTAAAGGTATAGAATTTCATTGAAAATCATAGTCACAGATTTGAGAAATTATTATTTATTTACAAAAAAAACTCATCATTATTTGTTATCGATTGATCCAATAAAACCCAAAAGATACGGTTTGTAAATATTTATTACAAATAAATATAAAAAGGTATTTCCTATCCTATGCGACGCGCCCAGGTTAGCTATACTTTATAATTCCCGCGTTAAGTCGCGATGGTGCTTGGGATAATCACGTGATACTGTAACGGCAGCCATCTTACGATACGAAAATGCCTGGCCCTCCTTGGACAGTTTCTTCTGCCTAAAATATTATATGAAATTAATACTTGCAATTTAAAGTTTGTTTGCTACATAAAGATTATCATTTACTAATTGCAAACTTTTTCTTTGCCCGACTATGTTGATGTTTTATCATTGGCTGTAACCATCACGTGATCAATACACATTAAGGTGTAAACTAATTTAATTTTCATTAAAATTATGCCGTTTATCGGACATATAACAATTGTATGTACAAATAAATTTATAAAACAATCTTAGAAGTATTTAAAATAATAAAAATCATTGGAGAATAATAAACGATATAAATTGTAATTGCGTATGACAACTCACCCCTTAACAAAACATAATAGACTCAACCAAAACAAGCGTCTGCTTCTTTACCTAATTATGTAGTTGCAAGATCTTGATCAGCAAACCAAATTTAAGAGCAAACCTATTGTAAAAATAATACTATGACCACAGCAGATTTCGTACAGAAAAAAGAAAATGAAGTTAATAATGTTAATGAGGTCCTTTATCCGCATACAGAATTTCATCAACAAAGCCTAACCATTTTCTGTGCTGTGTGTTTCGTTTCCATTGTTTTTACCTCTTCCAAAGCAATAGTTATTCATTCAGTGAAACAAATAAAATTATGCCCGTTATCTCCATATTGCCCTCCATATACATACTAAGTTCCACAAATCTAGCTTTTTTACCTTTAAGTTATCACAAGATCATACTTATGTTTAGTTTTCATTGTTTTTTTTTATTCCACTACATCTATCCTCATTCACAGTATCACACACATCTATCCTCATACACAATATCACAAACTTTCTTTTTCTAACCGAACTGCAACATATAATAGATATTATTATTCTTTGGTCGAACAGAATGACGGACTGACAGGGGTGAAAAACCGAAGTCGGAACAAATAAAAAGGCGAAACTCTTGAGAAAAATATGCATCTAAATTAGCATATCAATAAAATCCTGTTACACAACAAATTTGCGTAACAAAAGGAATAAAATGGTTCTTCAGAAGAGTTATTTAATTATAGTGGCAAAAATTAAAGCTGTGAGCTGTACATAAAACACCAATCCATGATATTTGACGAATTTTGTTTATCATCCTTACTGTAACATTTTTGCATAATTTATTTTCATGAAGTGCAAAAAGCGGTGTAGATTTTATAAGATTAACAGGATTATCATCTGATTCTTAAAATTAGGGACAGATTTGAAACAAATAAAAACGCTCAAAGCCAGTATATTTTCCTTGAAAATTTTATACTAAGAAAGTTAAATGCTAGTCTTTTTAAATCTGCATATTAAATTATGGTTTCTCTTGTAATTTATATGCACATTTTACACGTTGGTGAATAATGATGCAATATATATGAGATTCGTTCGGAAAATTATATATCATTTCTTTATAAAATGTTCAATAATCATTCAAGGGAATCTTAAAAAACATATTCGTGTACTTCAACAATAAGATATATGCTGAAACTGTTCAAACATATATATGCATTTTACACATACCCGGAGGAGGATTCAGTAACATCAAAACAAAAATTAAGATAGTGAGTTATAGCCTGAAAAGAACGAGACAAGACATGTCGAGATGTCCCAGGCTCGGCTGAGTCAAGGGGCATGATATTTGACCTCCAACAAACGCAACAGAAAAAGAGTGGTACAGAAATATGTAATATTTATGAACATTTTCTTATATTCTCAGTTTGCCCAATTATATCAAGATGCATCAATATTTATGCCTAGTTATGACGACAGATATATGGACAATTGGACATCAATGCACTTTTATTAAAACTTTTATGATCTTTTGTGATCTTAAGGTAGCCCATTTTTTTTTCGACCGAAACTAAAAAATATCTGATCTTGATGATTTGTGATATTTAAAATGTCAATTTTATCAATAAACCGGCCTAGCTGTTTATATCAATTTTCATGCGATTTCCTTCGTTTCATTTTTGTAACGTTAAGTAGGTAAACGTCTTTCTGAGCACTGTCTTTCAGAACATTCCGCAATTGCATGGCTAAATACCCTGTGTTCTGACGTTCAAATGTGTTGAAAATATCGCGCGATTTCGCAGAAAAATGTAAAATAAACTATCAATACGGTTAACTTCGATATAAGTTTTCCTCATATGAAGTAAAATTGTGAAAGAGAAGACTAATGCAAAAATATATAGGTTCAACACGTAAGATATTTTGCCACAACTGTTTAAAAGAAGAGGTGAAGAATGCGGAAAACAGACCGGATATTGATAAAAAAAAGACACAAAAGGCGCTTTCACGTGATAGGAGCGCTGTTTTTTTAAACAAATTTATGACGCTAAAGAAAATCTGATATATCTATATGTTTGTATACCAGAATCACCAAGATCTAAAATATTGTCAATCTTTGGCCGGAAAGTAGCGGGCTATAATAACTTTTAAACCACAAACTTATTCTCACTCGGTGCAAACTGTTTAAAGGACTTTATATCTAAGATTTTTTTTATTTAAAATCTGTCAATGAATGGAAAAGATATTGAGAGAACATGAAATATGTCCACTATCATACATATATCACGACTTTTGACATTCCAGTGTGATTTTGACATTTGGGCTGCTGAACGAAATCTTGATGAACAGAATATTTATACATAATGTTGTAAAACGCACCCATGAATCATAAATCTATGCACAATGCATGCCAATTACTTGTAGGCATAAAAGTGTGACGTTGGCCTGTAAGCTGGAGATCGTATTCATGCCAGCAAAACATCGCCTTAAAATTAAGCACATTTATGCATACTGTTTTTACCCTCAATAAAGAACACAATTGTTGACTTGACACGAAAATCAATACATTTGAAATGAATAATTTCCTTTGAAGTCAAATATGACTTTTTCAGCTACAAAATTTGTTTAAATGTGTGACACTTAAGTTAAATTAGTCGAAAATCTCAAAATCGATCCGAAACGACCATCATTTACTACATGAACACTTTGTACATTGACCATTTAAGCTGGAGATCGGATTCTTGCTGTGTATCATGTTGTCATCGTGTCAAATACATGTACATTTATGTCAAGTGAATGTGCAAAATCCGCCTTAGAATGACAAAATTATTGACAAGACAAAACAATGAATTCATTTTTGTGAAAAATTCATACCATTACTTTGGGCATGTAAGTATGCCCTTGACCTTCTGACTCTATACTTGACGCTTGCAACATGATGTCAAACAAATTAATGCAAAGCTATTTCAAAATCAATCAAGAAATAACAGCATTGTTGATTGGACACAGCCATCAGTGCACTGTCATGAAACTCATTAATTTGGACGAAGAAGTGTGACACTGACCCTTAAATTGGAGACAAGACCAACACGCAACACATCATCATCATGTCCAGCACATGTCTACAAAGTCATTTTATATCCATAAAAGGAGGACAGATAGTACAATAAATATCAAGAATTGTAACTTCTAAGTGTGACCTTTAAACTGTGAGTTAAACACCTATGTTGTCAACGTATCAAACACATTTCTGCCAAGTTAACTATAAAAAAAAAAGAAAAAGAAGAGCACCACAAAGGCGTGTCAATATACCTATTTACAACATTCGCCCAAAACATGTTTATTTCAACTATCAATATTCTTATCTATATTGATACATGCAAAAGAGCTATGGTCTTTTCACATGAATACTAAGTGACAATTATATATGCGACAGCTTTCGCTGTGGAGTACATACCCCAGACATGTAACGTCATGCTCTTAAAAAGCTAATTTTGAAGCACACAGTGATGCTTATTTATCTCCATGCAATTGTTACAAATTGTCACAGAGTGTACATACTGACTGAAAACAATTAAGGCAAATAATTATAAGTATTTGCTTAACTGACCTTTGCGCAAGTTTCATTACAGACGAGTCCTTGCCAGCCTGGGGAGCACAGGCAGCCATTTTTCTTCTCGTTACAGTGTCCACCATTTAAACAGTCATCGCACGTAAATAGGCACTCTTCACCGAAGCGGCCAGGTATACATTCTGAAATGCAAACATGTTTTATTTTATTTTTATTTTAAATTCATTTGTTTTACTTTTTACAACGAACATTTTAAGGGTCACAAAACGTTAAGTGACACGGGGCGGGACCACTTGCGGCGCATAGGTCTCGATTTCAACAAACTTATTAGCGTTCAACTACACAATTCTACATATATACAAATATATAAGATCTAGGCATAAATGTTTGGGAGAAGGGGATTTTTAAAGGTTTTTAAAAATATCCTATATGTAAAACCAGATGATGTCCGAGGAAGGCCCAAATTAGACAGAGGGACATAATTTAGTCAAAGTAAATAGTAGTTCACTTTTCAAAGCGTCACACAAATACCTAAGCTTTCACTATAATCAAGTTCAAAATATTTCATATATTACAAAAGATCAAGTGGCCCTTGATAAACTTTAATTATTTTAGACAGTTCCACACTTGACAAAGCTACACACCGATAAGCATGGTGTTCAGAAGAAGATCTTAAAAATTGTATTCATATGAGTTTATGTACAATATATTAATTTTGACACAGGGTGATGTGATTTATATAACTTCAATATACAATACTACACATCTAATAAATAAATACTTTTCTCTAGGTCATGAAGTCAAAAAAAGATGTTTAACGTTTTTCGTATACAAGTCTATGTACAATCAAAAGGCCCAAAGGCTGACGAGCGTGAATTTTGGCGGTAGTTGGTAGTAACCAATTATCAACAATATTGTAGTTGGTAATTCAATCCACTTTACCAGAATAAAATGTTCTTCCCTGAACACAGAATAAAGCATTGGGGGCTAGTTGGTTATTCGTGTGAATCCCAAACTACAAGAAGGTAAATAGTTGTTCTAAATTTTCATGCATTGTCCTCAAAATAGAGATACTTTTTGTGAAACCAATGAAACAAATATATAACAAGATTTATGTATTCTATAAATGCTTACATCCCTTCTTCCTATATTCACCAGGGAATCTACGAATCCCCAACTCCCTATCAGAAGTTCGTGGTTATTCGAACTCAGAATACATCAATCTTGTTATAAATCAGTTACAATTATCCCGGATAAACTGTGTCTGTTTTCTATGTTGGCTGATTTGGAACGCTTTTGTAAGTCGTGTTGCAGCATGACAAAGCGCTAAACGGCGCATTGTCGGCCTTTCGTATTGTCGTCCTGTTGCTAACGATGTACGCCAAACGGCGCGTTGTCGTTCGGGGTGTTGTCGCAATGTCGCATTGTCGCTCGGATCAAATCGAAGGAAAGTAATATATGCACTATGACAAACTACCTTCTAGTAGTTAGTTTGGAATTCACGCAGATAACCAACTGAGTCCGCTGATGGACGACGATGTTATCATGTTGTAACGTCTATCTTCTTATATATTCGTTACATTTATTCGGGAAAATATTGTTTTGAGGGAAAATATGAAAGTTAGAGTTACCAACTGGTCCCCCGGGTCGACGTATGGAGAGGTAGATATTAGATGTAGTAAACATCTATTTAGTCAATTATCCGTTACTTTCATTTTTGGAATTGAGAGAAATACATGTTATATTCGAATTACCAACTTTACCTCTGGTTGGTAACTGGTAATGGAGAAGGGGTGATAAAATGTTGAAGATCACATTTATCTTGTTCTTTGTCTGTTACATTTAACCCCCCCCCCCCCAAAAAAAAAAGAAAGAAAAAGAAAATGATACTTTCTCCTGGTAGGTAGCTTGGGTTTCACACGAATAACCAAGGATATAATAGATCAATGTACATGGTAGGATAAAAAATATTATATTTCCTTTTTTAAATAAAAAAATTATGAGCCGTATGTATGTTATACAATTTTGCCAGTATTTTATGTGATTTATGACTTTCCCAAACGTACGCTGGTGTCTTAAGTATGAGAAAAAACAACGAAAAAAAGATTATACCTTGAGGATAAACCAAAAATTAATTCGGATTTCTACTGTCGTTTGACTATGCAAATTGCTTAATAAAAATATTTGATAATTATTTGTACCCAAATCATATTTATTTCACACTTTATAAGATTAAACCAATACACTTCCTGCGTTTGAACAATGTGATTTCTTAATATTTGGTACTCATCGTTCGCTTTTATATAGATCTCTTACAGTAAGAATTTTCCAAAGCAACGATTGTTGCATTTCGCGCATGTGCATTCTGCGTAGGGCAAAAGCGCACTGTACATATATTTGAAGTATGAAATTGATCCATTAAGAAATAAAGAAGTAACAGTAACAATAGTATTTTTTTAAGGAAAATTTTAAGTTCAAGGGGAGATTAATCTGAAAATATTGATGCTAGAGTTATGAACCTTTGCACATAAGATGTGGATGATGATAAGGTACATATATTGAATTATGAAGTTAATCCCTTAAGAAATAAAGAAGTAACAGTAAAAAATAGTGTTTTTTTGTCAGGAAAATTCTATGTTCAAGGGGAGATAAACCTGAAAATATTGGTGCTAGAGTTATAAACCTTGTCACATAAGATGTGGTTGATGATAAGGAACATATATTTGAAGTATGAAGTTTATCCCTTAAGAAATAAAGAAGTAACCGTAAAAAATAGTATTTTTTAAGGAAAATTCTAAGTTCAAGAGGAGATAAATCTCAAAATATTCGTGCTAGAGTCATGAACCTTGTCACATAAGATGTAGTTGATGATAAGGGACATATATTTGAAGTTTGAGATTGATACCTTAAGAAATGACAAAGTTATAGTGAAAAATATTTTACTGCACCAAAACTTTAATCTGAAATCTGGACGCGGATTCGGACGCCGACGCCACCGCCGACGCCGGGGCGAGTAGGACAGCTCTCCATATACTTCGTATAGTCGAGCTAAAAAGTGAAATGAGAATTAAATAGAAAATAACACAACACATAAAATCTTTACAAGCATAATAAAACATATTCTTGTTTGATTATTAATGAAACAAAAATATTTTTTGCGAAAAAAAAAATACAATTCGAACCTTACTGTTTTGCATTGAAATTTAACTAGAAATTTACCAGACAACTTTACCTACTGCGTTACACTGACAGTTGGTAAATTTGTCGGTATCGTAAATGTTTGACTTGAGATAATAAACATAATATGATAAATGTTTTATACCGTTATAGTGGACCTGACCACCGCGTTACGAAATAATTATCCTAAACGTACAGTAAATACGTAAATAAGTAAATGCGTTCTCGCATATTGCATTCGAGTGTTTAGATGTTATTTTAAGAAGTTTTGTAGAAAATTAGATGGAACAATAAATCATTATTGGATCTAATATTTCGGTTTTCGGACGATATTTTGAGTTTGGAATGTGATTTAAAAATAAGACATAAAAACAATGTTGAGCTCAATATTGTGCAGCTTCATATCCAAGCTCGCCATTAAATAACGAGACATAACTACATATATTGAGATGAATTTTGTGCTGATTGTTGAGCAAGCTTCAAATCCCAGCTCGTCATTCAAGAACTAGAGTAATCTACGTAAGTTGAGATGAATGTTTGCTGAATGTCTGTCGAGGCAGCTTCACATCCCAACTTGTCCTTCAAGAACGAGATAAAACAACGTATGGTGAGAATGTCAAGCCAGCTTCACATCCGAGCTCGTCAGTCAAGGACGATTCAAAGCAATGTATGTTGACATGAATGTCTGCTAAAAGTTGAGTCATCTTTACATCAAAAACTCATCATTCAAAAACGAGACAAAACAACGTATGGTGAGATGATGTTTGCTGAATGTCGAGCTAGCTTCACATCCCAGCTCGTCTTTCAAGAACGATCTAAAACAATGTATGATGAGATGAATGTTTGCTGAATGTCGAGCTAGCTTCACATCCTAGCTCGTCATTCAAGAACGATCTAAAACAATGTATGATGAGATGAATGTTTGCTGAATGTCGAGCCAGCTTCACATCCAAGCTCCTCATTCAAGAACGACACAAAACAACGTATGGTGAAAAGAATGTTTGCTGTGTGTCAAGCCAGCTTCACATCCGAGCTCGTCAGTCAAGGACGATTAAAAACAATGTATGTTGACATGAATGTCTGCTAAAAGTTGAGACATCTTTACATCAAAAACTCATCATTCAAAAACGAGACAAAACAACGTATGTTGACATGAATGTTTGCTGAAAGTTGAGCAAGTTTCACATCCCAGCTCGTCTTTCAAGAACGAGACAAAACAACATATTTTGACATGAATAGTTGCTGAATGTCGAGCAAGCTTCACATCCAAGCTCGTCATTCAAGGACGAGACAAAACAACGTATGTTGACATGAATGTTTGCTGAAAGTTGAGCAAGTTTCACATCCAAGCTCGTCATTCAAGGACGAGACAAAACAACGTATGTTGACATGAATGTTTGCTGACAGTTGAGTCAGTTTCATATCCAAGCTCGCCATTTCAGAAAGAGACAAAATAATGTATGTTGACATGAATGTTTGCTGAGAGTGTCGACGTCAGCTTCACATCCCAGCTTCGTCATTTAAGACGAGGACAAAACTACGTATGTTGATATGAATGCTTTCTGAAAGGTGAGTCAGCTTTCATATCCTAGAGCAACATTTAAAAAATAGACAAAAATACGAACGTCGCAGCTGAATGATAAGCGGAATGTTTAATGTCGTCTCTGTCCTTACTTCATGACTTGTCTAGATAAACAACCTTTACCGTAAAAAAACATTGATTACATATCAAAACATACTGTTACTGTAAAAACTGTATTGTAATGCGCTATCCATAATCATGAATCGACATACATGTAATGTAACTAACTTTTTACTTGTTATGATATCTTATACTGATGTAATGCGATCATGTGAACATGTTTATGTAGGTCAGTCCCGCTTTAAATAAAGTAAGACCCGTGGTGTTAAGATTCTAGCCACAATTTGGTTAGCACGTTCCTTCACGGAAAGTTAAAAAACGAAGTACTAGAACCTATGAAAGTCTAATTTTCCACTTTATGAATTCCCCCATTGTCTTTC